TTTACCGTCGTGTTTTCGTGTGGGATCGCAAGGATTCGACGGGCCCAGAGGTGATTTTCCTGACCGACGGGGACCGACTGAAGGTGCGAGCTACGCTCGTCTCGGCCACGAGCCGCGTCCCAGTGACCTACTGAAGATCTCGATCGCGCTCGTCCATCGCCCCTCTCGCCCTCCCTCTCGAGCACGACGTAAGGCCCAAACAGGCCCACCGTCGATGGCACTGCTCCCACTACCGCGTTCGATCGTACCTGCTCTTTTTTTCGCTCGCGTTCCTCCCTCTTTCTCTCTTGGAAGAAATGCCGAAGAACTCACGGCACAGGTGAAAGACACGCGCAGGGCGAGATATCCGCGTCACACGTCGTGAGATTCAAGTTCTTATCGAGAAAAAAAAATTATTTCAATTTCAAAAGATTGCAATTAGAAATGCCGCGACGAGAAAGTGACTAGTTATGTTCGCTACAACATCTAATTTTTCCACTCTGAATCTTATAACAATTCTGCAGCAACGTGTAGCTCACTTTCATATGTAATCGGAACGCGAAGATTACGTATGAAATTTTGGAGCGTTTTCCGCATTGCCTTGAGGAAATATCAAATTTATCTGATGCAGATTGCAGATTACTGATGATAAAATCGTTGATTTTTGGCATCGCTGTAAGAAATCGAAAACTTCTTCGTCAGCTTTTCCGAGACAGCGGAATCTCAGGATGCGGACTGTCTGCCGTAAGATCGTTGCAACGGGGAACGGGGATGAGAAACGAAAAGAGAAAAATGACGATACTCGTCTGGGATACTCAACTCGTGACTCGAATAACACGGAATCGCGACGCACATCGCGAGAATCCGATGGAAACCAGAAGCGGTGTCTCGCACACCGTATTGCAAACGCCGAACTGACTCCAATTTCAAAAAATCAGGCGAACGAAATCGCAGAAGTTGCTGAAACCGGAGTGTTTTGTCGCTTGCGGAATTGAGTCACGGCACATGAACGATTGCTGATCTTTCCTAAGTCCAATTTCGCGAATCGTCTTCCGGACAGCCGACATATATCCCGACGTCGGGAGTAAAAGACTGCGCGAGCGATGCACAAGATTTCCTAATACTCGGATGGAATACGGAAGCGACTTGTGCCACATTTGTTGTTGTGACTTTGTCAGGAAACGTATTCTTCCTCACGAAGCCTTGATTTATCTCAATTTCACAATCTCTAAAAATATCACCTTCGAAAAATAACGTCGAAAGATGCAATACTTTCAATGAATGACCAAACGAAATAGTCTCATTGATAAACGATCGATTATTTGCGAATATTCAACATGGGACATCATGGGCTCACATCACATCGCGCGTTTTCTCACCCGCATTGTTTTGCACTTTCGTTTTCATTTCTCGAAATCTTCGCGAGAGCTCTGCATTCGCCTGCATTTGCGTAATGCCACGACCGATAAGAACGAGACTCGAAAGCTAACCGACAGCAATGGGTTTGACCTAGATTTCTCACCCGCATGGGTGCTAACTCATCCATCCGGAAATGGCTTATGGTAGCCAACCGTACATCGAGGGATAACGATACGGTAGATAATACGCGAAAGTGCGAGTAAACGTTCTCTTTCTTTCTATTTCTTTTTCTTTCTTTTCTTTAAACGTTTGATTTTCCGAGCGCGGAAGATCACGATGCGGCGCGAATATTTCAAATAGATAGATCCTTTCGTGCATTCTTATCCGAGACACATTCAATACTTTCTCGATCTTAAAAAACATTTTTGTATATCTTGTAATGTCGCGTGAATCGCAATTTATCGAAAAAACATTTCTAACAACGCGATGAGTGGTGTATTATCGAGTTACCGAAACGTAAATTCGCTCTAATTTGACTTGGCCGTAGGATTAATATTGGCATAATCCTATGTCTAAAGGCGAGCTCGTTAGAATTACAGAAGATAACATATATATGTATAATGGCATTATTTGAGCTTGGTCTGTGATATTCCACAGATCCATTTGAGAAATTGAATTAATATTCGAAAATTTCTTGGTGAATAAGAGTTCTTTCCATTCAATGTTTTTTTTTACTTGAAACAAAGACATGGCAAACTACCTTCATTCATCCAATTTTTTTGTAACTATAAATAACATAATATACTCTGTCTGAAAAGATCCATGGAAAGTATTTACCACAAAATGTTTGCAAAAAAAAAAAGAATAGTTTACAGTCAGTCGTTGTATTATAAAGTTATTGCTTTGCTTCTTCGATTATTTAATTTAGACGACTCGTTCGTTCGTGCTACGCTTATGAACTCGTTCAAATTTAATCAATGTTTAACTAAATCTCTATCGCTTGCCTATGGGCAATAATTATTCCACCGAGTTCCTTACGTCGCGCACGATTCAGGCCAAATTCGATCAACCAATTATATTCTTCTACTTGAACTTTTTCGAACTGAAAAGTCAGAGATGCAACATTTCAGAATCAACTGAACCAGCACGAGTACACATTTATGTGATTATAATAAAATATATTCTATAGTCTTACAAAATTCTGAATTATTAATTTAATAATGATTATCTGGCACAGAGACTTTTGTCCGAATTATTGCTTTTACAAAATAAAATTCTTTATTTTTGATAATATAATATTTATGCATTTATTAATTAAAAGATAATATTTGCATACGGATTTGATTGTAGAAAGTGAATATCAATTTGCTTTCAACAATCAAATTCATAATGTAAATATTATTGTTTAATAAATAGATAATGTATATAAATATTGTGTATTATGAGAAACAAAATAATTGTATTCTGTGAAAATGATGATTCAGAAAAAAAATCTTCTGTATCAGATAATCGTTAGGAATGCTCAATAAATATAATCAATATAATCAATATAAATTTTCAAATGTCATATACTATATATGTTATATATGTTATTTTAATAATATCAGAAGAGAATTGAATATGATTATCATGAAGATCACGTACAATGCACGTGAGCAACGAAACGAAAATTCGGACAGACTCACTGATGTCCTAAAAAGGTATATCGATAGAAAGGTGGGCTATTAAGAGAAAGCGGCCTCGAAAATTAATCATCGGCATCGTGGTGCCCTACCAAAAATCGTGAGCCCGAGCAAGATGATCTATTCCAAACAGGCCAAACTCTAAGAATCTCGTTCCGGAGACCCAAATCTCCGGTTACGAGGATCTTCTATAGAGAAAAGGAGAGGACTGCCTACTTATACGCGCTATAAAATCCGGTATTTACGTGTACCTGGTATTTGCATATGCATACACACATAAGCGCCTGTGTCTTTCAAGAAACCGTACCATGCGACAATCTAAGAAATAGTCAAATGAAGAGTTGATATCCAAAAGAAAAGAGAGAGAGAGAGAGAGAGAGAGATTTGTTTGTAGAATCCAAGACGCACGCACGCGAGTACGTCGAGAGAATCCTGTTTTTAAGTACGCCAGTAAAGCCGGTGGTTTGTCGATGTGGAATCCAGAACTGGTTTTTAATTTAAAAAAGCAATTCCAAGTGAATTGATAGCTTAAACGAAATATATAGCACAATATAGTATTATAATAAATCAAGAATCTTACTTTTTATGTTTTATTCAGCTGGTAATACTACATTACTTACATACATAAATATTATATACATGTCGTTTATCTAATTATATATAATAACTTTTCATCATTCAAGATACAGGAGCATATGAGACTGACAGTAGAAAAAACAAAAGGGCAATTAAGTTAAGAATATACATTGAAAAAATATGAAAAATATGAGAAAATGATAGGATGAAGCGTGACCTCTTTTCTTATCTACGACGGCATAATACTGTTGATTTCCTTTTACTAATCAGAGAACTGATTATATAATCACGCTTAACCGAGTTAAGAAAAAAACTTCTGCAAATATTACTTATTTTACGACTTGCACTACTTAATGTATAAAATATATATATATATATATTAATAACACTAGTCTTATACAATAAAACTATTGTTATTCTGCACACACACACACACACACACACACACACACACACACACACACACACACACACACACACACACACACACACACACACACACACACACACACACACACACATATAACAGAATGTTGTATATGCTTCTAATTAGCTTCTATTACGGAATCAATTTTAGTCGATTCTTCCAATATTTCCATTAGTTATCTAAGCCTTGAAGGTTCCAGCAGTAGAAAAATATAATTAGCTGATCAAATATGATCCAAATAAACAGATTCTTAATTTGCCCAACTGTGAGGTAAATGGCACTTAAAATATTCTGGCCAAAAGGCAAAAGACGATCGTCTTATATCTTTACAACGAAGAAAAAAAATTTACTTTCTTACAACATCTCGTTACGGAAATGAGATCTGATGATGCGCAAGCACTGTCCCTTCTTCCGCCTTATTATTTTACCGAACCGTGCAACCCTTTGTTTGCCATATGCGTGACAGGTGTGTTCTCGTGACGTAACAGCAGTACCGTTATACGCGAGGTGAAACCCTATAAGAATGTGACGTGACACGGAACACACCATAAGACCGTGCGCCAAATTCGGCGCTCCCGTGAAAGTGACTCGAATGGGAAGACTCCGCGGAATAAACCGCAACTGCATCATCGAGATATTTATAGCGGTACCAGATTTTTCTGTATTCATCATAATTCGCAGATCGTACCTTCGAATCTCCAAGAGAAATCGGGAAAGCGATGTACGCTCGAAACATCGTTATTCAATTCCTCATTACGGTGATTAAATGTAAATGCCATAACCGCTGCGACGACAATCTCAGGCCAACAAGGCAAATTACAATTTACGTTGACTTGCTTGGAAATAATGTTAGACGTATATATTTCATTACTTCCTTAGCGAAAACGGTAAAAGATGTAACAATAAAAATGTAACAACGTGAAATTATAATGAAACTAATTTTTATTAATATAGATTAACTTTAATCTCTTTTTACTCATCTTCTATCTTTTTTTAATTTTTTAATTCTTTTTTAAATTTTCTCAGAATTAGAGAAGAATAAAGAGTAAATTAAAATTAAAATTAATTGACATTGATAGAAATAAATATAAAACGATCCTTTTCGTAATTTAAAAATATCGGTGTTAGAGTTATACTTATAATTGGTAATGGATTAAAGCAATATTAAATTATTATTATTAGGTTAATTAATTTATACAAATAAAATAGATTTATCGATTGACTTGTCAAAATAATTTTAACATCATTTTCTCGTATTTCGCCAACTTGCTCAAAATCAGACACGAACAGAATTTTCCAAAATTTGTAGAGCTATCTTCATCACTTCTACACTTCTACGGCAATGATTACATATATTGAATGATTTATTCTGCTGATCACATGAAATTGCACTCAGTGGCCTTTTTTTTAAACAGCGAACTATCGCGATGCGTTGAATTTCAACGACTAACAAGCACCGCGGCGATCACATAATCGTGCCCAGAAAAGCGGAAAATCATGTTGTGACAAAAAGGACGTATGGAAACCTAGTAGAAAGCATAACGGCCTGCTGCGCGGCTATAAGGAGATCAGAGGATAAAGTTCAATCGCCTCGTCCGCCATCCCTCGAAAACCATCGCCCTACTTTTTTTTTTTTTACAATTAATTACAAGAGTTTCAACCAGAGGAACTTTGCCTAGAAACTGAGTTAATTGCTCATTGTCCGATTAATTGAGTGCGTATCAATTTCGTAGTACGAGCGGCGATCATGCCGCAGACCGTATTCGAACCGTGATGTTTCCTATCCAGGAGTTAGACGTACAATCTCACCTTTTCTTGCCTCTTTAACAAACTGCCGCGCGCATAGCAGATGGTCTCCCTCTACCTACATGCGGCCTTATTCCTGGCATAGAGTCGGAGAAGGAAGGAGACGCCAGGAGACGCTGACACACTGACTCGCTACCCCACATACCCTTTTGCCTTTTCGACGTGTGCTCGCGCGAGATTACGCGAGTGGGGAGCTGAAGAAGCGGAAGCGTTTGCCGGCGGTCTTCTCTCTAACGACGAGGAAAAGCCGCGACTTCGCGACCGTCGATCATTCAAAAAGAATTTTTGGAGTTTTCGTTCACCGAAAAAAACAGCACCAGCCCCAGAGGCCGACGAAATTAAATAATTAAATAACACATGAGCAAGTTCTCGAATTAACAAAAGCAACAATTTCTTTAATAGAAAGTTTAGCAGAAAGTTAATGATTTAACATGCACATCTGCCGTCTTAAATACCTTTTCTACCATATATAAAAAAAATTCCAAACAATGGTGACTAGAACAGAGATGTATCGTAGTTAATTTTTGTGGCAATTACGATGAAAAATATTAGACAACAAATATTTGACGAGCATCTGCCAGCGTATGTCTCGTTTTCACCATCGAAAAAGGGCGCGACCATTACGTTCAACGAAACATATATATATATATCGCACCACAGTCTATTAGAAAGCTGTGTATCACTGATCACGTATCAAATTTAGCACATATCAAATGGTCACAAACCTTTTTTACTCTTCGTGATTCAGCAAATAGCTCGATATAATCCTATTGGCACACACACTTGGCACTTGTGACTTCTTCTTGCCGCGTGTCCTCCCTTATATATAGACTACGTTCCTCTTCCTTGCTAATGACTGCCCCACCTCCTGGGACTGACCGAAACGTTCGAGAGCGAAGAAAAAAAATATATTTTCCTTTTCTTTTTCTTTCGCGATCGGAGAAAGAAATTGTCGATACTCGGTATTTCGAATTGTCAGATATTTGATACTCGTTCGAAAGACACCGACGACTTTGGTGAGTGCGTTAGTTGTGAGCATACCTGAAACGACCCGCGGCCTATATACTCTCCCCTCTCGAAGTCGTCAGCTTTCACCAAAAACCACCTCGGCTGCTCCGACGTGCTCGTCGCCTAGCAGAAAAATCGAAATTCTACATGTCGTTGCCGAGTTCCGTTTGCGAAAAGAAGAAACCCCCCCCCCTCTCCGATCCTCGTCCAGGCACGAGCAAAAAGTCGAAAACCCTTTATAACTCCACGGAGTGCGTCACTCCGTCGCAACTTTCTTTTTTATTAATCATCACGGGGTTTAACGCAGCTCGAGATTGAATCACGAGCTTGGAGTTCGGCGTGGCTCCATTCTATTCTCGGTTGCATCGGCGCGACGGCGGAAGTCGGGCGCAGGCCGGATGCCAGCGAAAGTCCTCGGTTGCCCACGTTCAGGGCCACGGCAGCGGCCTCAGGAACGCGACGCTCTTGTTGTACTTGCCTTTCTCTGAGATTATTATAATGCTTATCGGAATACCGACATGTATGTACGGTGTTTCAATACTTTTCGTGCGCTCTTCACAGGAGAAAAAATAGGCCACTTGCATTGATAAATAAATTAGATCTTTTAATTACGTTACAAAGTTTCTTTATGTTTTTCTTAACAGTTATTGGATAAATTTCGTTTCCGGTAAATTAATTAACGAAAAGTTTTGGAAAAAATATCTCGTGTGTTTTTACTGATTTTGATTTGAGATTCGAAGCGTGATAAAGTTTTTTAAAATTTGTTAAAAAAGGATTAAACAAAAATTACGTAGCGCAGAGAGACGCAGGATGCAAGAAAGAATTAAAATTGAAGAAACATTTATTTTATAAACTTTAATCACAACAATCCACGCTTTAACATTCCAAGTTCTTTAATGATCCTTGTTACTCATCTCAATTGCTACAGATACAAAATTAAGATTGAGATATCTTGAAGAAATTCAGCAAATTCCTTTTCTTCTTTCCTTAAAGTAACTGTGAAATTTAGGGCAAGAGTTAACTTGGGAGATAAAGTTTCAAACTGACTCTTATCCTACGGCATAGGAAACGGAGATTAAAGAACGGAGTTTAGGAGCCTTTATCTCGCGCCTGTAAAGATGGAAAAGGATTCGAGGGCAACGAACGAGGCCGAGAATCCGAGAAATATTTCCGAGAGAGACGGATATACCGGAAGGAAAGTAACACTCGTTTGTAACGATCGTCGGAGTCGACCTAGGTGAAGGTCAACGTGTATTACGATATTATTAAGTGCCTAGTTTCTTCTCCCGATCATCTGTAAATGCAACTCGCTCACGCGCTCGTGCGTGCACAAGGAAGAATTACGTGTGTAACGGACTGTTATAATAATAAGTTAAACAGACGCGAATCCTGATTATTCGGGTCAAGGAAACTCTCCAATTTACTCGTCACTGAAAGCGGAGAGGCATCATCCAGCACTAACAAGATGATATCTAAATATTCCAGCATTAAACATTTACTAACTCTCAAATCAATAAAATTAGCATGATCTGATATTACATCTTTACAATAAAACTTGAAACGCTATCGCCATTTCAGTAGTACAAGTCAGTAAAACAATCGATAAAATTTTCTTGGCACATGATACTTGCGACAGAACTCGAATATCTTCTTTCATGATTCAATGTCATTACTACCTTAAAGTCTTCACAATTTCAAAGAGAATACTATGGACTTCTTGACATTTTCTCATTAACTCATTGTACTAATTGTAACGTATTAGCGTACCGACGTTATTGACCAAACAATGGATTAATGTATGTTAATTGATGCCTTATAGGCATCGCCAGGTAGTACCGCGTGTTTTTGCAAAACGAATCATTGACATTCCACCCTCGTTCTCTCTTTCTGCCTATCTTTTTCCCTCTTTTTCTTTCTCTCTCTCTTGTTCCGTCTCCTCGAGCAGATCCAATTCCGGAAGAAAGCTGCGTGAACAAATTCCGCGTCGGCCGGAATGGTGAAATTGCGCAATTTTTCCTCGCGCTCTGACGTCAGCGACCATTCAGGAGAGCGCTGCGCGGCTTTCACACGGATCTTGCTTTGTTGTCTAGATACCTACATAAGTAGAGACTCATTGCAAAAGCTTGACCAAAGAAAGGAAATATCGTAACAAATAAATTTCATCCTGTCTACCTTTGGGTCTATATTGGGTGTCCTAAGCTCCTTGGATATTTTTCTAAAGATATTAAAAAAACTTAATTTCACGACGCCTTAAAATTGAAAGCATTGAAAATTAAAGAATTTTTTTTTAATTAAGGATTCAAAATTTAAGATTTTTAGATAATGTAAGTAAAACCGTAATTTAGAATTGATCCTTGTTCTATAAATTTGAAGAAAATATGAAGTTTATTTATCGAAAAATATGACATTTCAATTTAAAATTGTAAGGAGTGATGAACTCTCATCAATCTACTAGAAACATATTAGATATATTAATTTCTTATTTTTAATAGATTAAATTCCAATATTCCTGTAACCACAAAAATCAATGTATTTTTGAGACACTCTGTATATCATTCTCTGTATATTCTTCTACGGTAACTGAACTGATATCAAGGCAAAATGGCACAAGCTTTTGTCGGCTGAAAAAAAGAACGACAAAATTGCGGTTGTTAACTGCAGACCTCGGAATAGAAATGGGGCAAGCCCAAAAATCGATAATCTGCAGCTAAAAGAACAGCCCGTATGGGAAGTTGAACACGTGCGGCATATCAATATTGGACGTCAATTAATGAACACGTTTACCTGAATTTATATTCATAAACGTCGTCCTAACTTTACGGTGTTTTTCAATATACATTTTAAGAATCTACATTAAAAATATATAATTAAGAGTAATTATGTTATAAACGACGCGCCACGCGGTAATTTGTCGTCCGAGAAAGCATTAGCACGATAATTGCGCCATGTCACGAGAATAATTCTTCGGAACGTTTCGAGCTCGACATAGATAGATTTTGATATCTCGTAAACCAGTATCGAAACGCATTCCAGAGACGCATCCCGGCTGTCCAGTGACAGAGAGAGAGGCCGTACTTTATCGAAGTATTTTACATTTATTTCGGTCACGATGCTCCCACCGATCAAACTCGAGCTTAAGTGGATACGTCAGCGTCCAATGCAAATCTAACTTCGCCGCGTGAATGTCATTACCCGTTGTATACGATGCGTAACGGCCAGCCATCGCTGTTCGTGACACGACGTGTACGACTTGGAAACACTCTTTTTGCAAAACGGTAACGGTGGATTTCGCACGTTCGGAGGACTTTCTCCCGAGCGGCGCTTACGCGCGCGGTGTACGTACGAAGATCCGGTATTCTTGGCGCACAACGTGCCAGTCTGGAACAGTTGCCGTAGCCTCGGGAGAGCAATTAGACTCTTGCGATTAAAGCTCTAATCTCTCGGATATTCCGCGCGGCTGAAACTCGTCTTCGGATTACTGCGGAACGCAGAACGGCGGGTGCTCGGATACGCGGACTTATGAGACGTGCGCGCGGCCGATGCACATTGCGCCTGAATCCATGTCTTTCTCATCCTTCTCTCTCTCTCTCTCTCTCTCTCTCTCTCTCTCTCTCACACACACGCTGTGTTCGAGGGCTATATTTATATCCGTATCGAGCAATGCATCATACGTGCGCGGCAAAACGCGAACGAGAAATCCTCGATCTTCCCGTGGACGCGAAGTCCGTTTGCGATTTTTTTTTGCAATTGCATTTCTCTTCTTTCTTTTTACAGTAAGCTAACATATATTTAAACGCTCTTTTCATATTTAATTATTAATTTTTTATTATTACATCAATTTTATAATGATATAAAAAAATCTTGTGATGGTACGATTTAGAAAATTAATAAATTTCATAAAAATATCGATAGATTTAATCTTTATAATAATCGCAAATATGTATTTACAATGAATGTAAATTCTTCTATAGTAGAGTATAATATAAACTTTCTTTTACAAAAATATGAAAATTCAAAATAAAATTACATTATTATATTATTTTTAACTACATAAACCGATAAAAAATTAACATTAGTATGATTTTCCAAAGTGTTACACGCACGAGAACACGATGTAACCTGTCAAATTTTAATCTAGATTACTCATTTCTCATTAATTTCACGTTTATGTCACTAAATATGTTTCATATTAAGTAATAATATGAAATATTGATGAGATTTAGGCGACCAATAGGCATTCAACGGCTCTCTCTTAAAAATACGGATTCACCCTCCAACGAATTGACATAACGAACGTGTAAGCTGATTGACATTTTTCAAGGCGCCACGGGTAGATACGCAGAGGTATGCAGCCGTTAATTTGACCGATTTCTCATTCGGTAGCGGCGAATCGTAGGAATTCGACAACGTATCGAAACGTACACCACGGGCAGACCACGTCGATTTCGATTGCGTTGCCGCTCGATCGCACGCCCGTCGTCCGGCTAAGTCGAACGGAAGATTTAGTCGTGACACACTTTCGGATCACGAAGCTGAGGCCTCTTTACGTACCGCGCCTATAATATTAACATTACAAATTGTCGATGCATCAGCGCGACGCGTCGTCCGTACCGACATAACAAAACGCAATCTGATTGATCAGTCATATGTTTCGGTATTATGCAAAAACGGATTTAACCCACATATCGATGTACGCGACCCATCTAGAAATCTTGACCAAAAAAGTGGTACGATTTCACGATGTGAAATGTGAGCCTCCAAATGCGCGATGACCACGATAGAAAATAGAGAGCCTAATTAAAATGCTCGCGGAAACAAATTGGAATCTTTCCCACAGTTTGTGTGTCCGAGAATCTGTGAAAATCTCGACGTAAACTCATCTTTTATCACAAAATTTATCGTATGTTTCGAAACGTAATAATATTTTCTCTTAAAATCTTGTCCCTCAAATCGGAAATAAAACGACGCGACGAACTGTTGACGAAATAACTGACCATTAATTGCAGAAAAATAAGTGGCGCGTGATGATATCGTGTGATGCTAATAAAGTCGATAAATATCTCTTTGTAGAAAAAGATACGCATGTGCC